CTTTTGATGGGGAGGAATCTTCCATTGGGGCGTTGAAGTTTTCTATTATTTGTTCTCTTTTTAGTTGGGGTTGGGGGAGAAACTGTACATCTTTAGATGAAATCGTGGACTTTTTGGGTTCTTTGGGTCCATAGGTCTTCCCCTTTCTCTCTTTTGGATTTTGTATAGCTCTTGGGATGCGGTCTTCTTTTAAACACTTTCTAATACATTTTTACTTATCAAAAAAAAAAAAAAAAAAGTAGAGAGGTATCTTAAAAGGACTTGGATTATATGTGCCAGAAATTTGTGGTTAGATTGAAAATATATATATATGCATGGGTTTTAAGTTAAAATAGAAAATGAATAAAGGTGTGTAAGTTTATTAGTTATACAATGCCATGTGTCACTATCTTAGGGTGCCTAGACTGTAAATTTTGGTGGAAGTGTCCAGAACTCACCTTTATTATACATATATATAGATATAGATATATAATTTTGTGCATATTGGAAGACTATTGGAAGACACAATTTTTTCTGAAGAATTCGCCATGATATATCTGATCCATGCATAATATCCACCTGTGGGTATACGTACGTATGATGCAATTACTCAGTCCAAGTGTTGAGCGAAAAAGGAGAGATTTAATTTATTTTTACCAAGCCACTTGTCATTGTTACATGTAGAATTAACAAAATCTTAATAGGCATGATAAAGCCCACACACACGTGTAGTACATGCAATATGACCATATATATAATACATATATGATTATACTCTGAAATCACCTTCACGAAGGGAAAGTAAAAGAAGAAAGAGAGAGGAAGAAATAGAGAAAGAGGGAAAGAAGAAAAAGAAAGGGAAGACCCAGATCTGGCCATGGTAGAGAAAGAAGAAGAAAAGAGAAAAAAGATCTGGAGAAAATTCAAAGTAAAGCTTAAAAAATTAGGTTTTTCCCTCACTTAACTATTTTAAAAATATTTCTACAATTGTTTCCTTACCTTTGATTATGGTTTGAATTGTCAAATACTATGTCAAAGCATGAAATGAGATGAAAACTTGTAGGGTTTGGAAATGTATATTTGTGCTAAAGACTGAACAGAATAATATGGGCTGGGGCTCAGTTTGTAAGACATGGATTTCTGGAAATTGATTATAAACTGCACTCAATCTCTTACCCAATTGTGAGAACTCTTTTTATATCTTGCTCTGGAGTTTTGAATTGAATTTGTTATATAAAAACTTTTAAGTTACAACTGAACTTTGATTAATTGTTAAGCAGCAAAACTAAATCACGTTGAAATTGAGGGTTGGGGCCGATCTGAAAGATTAGCCGGTGGGTTTCTCTCGAAGAACCACCATTTACTTCGGTAGATGACCCAAAACCACGTGGTATGCCCTTGTGCAGGTAGTTGAGTGTTGGGGCCACACTGTGAAAGGTTGACCGGTGGTTTAACCACCAATTGATCAAATTGATTCATTAAGGCCTAGTTTGGTACGCAGGAATGAAACGGAATGGTAATGGAATGAAGTTGGGAATGGTCATTCTCATTATATTGTTTGGTTGCAAATATAAAATGATGTAGGAATGAAATGATAATCACCATTCTAAGTGGTGGTGGTGGAAGGCGACGGCAGCAGTAGTGGTGGTGGTGGTGGTGGTGGAGGCGGTTGGGGGGGGAAGGCGGCGGCGTTGGAAGGTGGTGGTGGTTCTTGGATTTGGAATGTGATGGATTTTAGAAATTTGATTTTTTTGAAGTTCTACTTGAGAATGAAATAACCATTCCATAGGTTTAGATGTGGAATGGATTTCATTCATTGGAATGAAAATAAGAGAATGGTCATTCCCACATTAAATTTCATACCAAACAAAGGAATGGTTGGAATGGGCATTCCATTCCTGTGTACCAAACTAGGCCAAGGGTTGGGTCACACCGGTGTGAAAGGTTTGCCAATGGATACTTCATGGAGGACCACCCTTGGTTAGTTAAGGCATTCATCCAGTTGAAAATGAAAGAGGGAAAATTATTGCTAGTTTTATGAACTATAGTAGTGTTATGAAAGTGGTGTTTAAACTTGTGTTATGGAAATGGGTTTGATAATATGTTAACTGAATCATACTCGTTTTTCATGATTATATTATGTTCGCTAACCCCAGTTGTTCAATTCATTCTCTAAATTTGCTAAGGAGTTTCTTTCCGCCACTCTTGAAAGAAAAATCCGTTTTCTGACCTTCGAAGGAAATTATTGTTTGTCAACAAATACGGGAACCTATTGGGCTCTTGTAGCTCACTCTTTTTACAAAACATTTTCAAGTTGTGAATGCGGTGAGAGAGCTACGAAGAAGAAAACAAGGCAAGGATGTAAAGTGTTTGATGAATTCGCTTCCAATTTTTGGGTTAGTTAGGCCTTGAAACTTATCTATGTATTCACTGCAAGAAGGATGCACACTGTCTTATAATGTTTTATGGACATTTAATTTATGTATTTAATTTGGACTGAACGGAATTTTGACTTCATGGAGACTTTAGATTTTTAAGAGGTAAAAACTTGAGTACTTTCATTATTATCATGACATTAGAATGGACTTCCCTTGAGAAATCACTGACGTATTTTATTTCCAAAAAAAAATGAAGTACATTCATAAATTTGGAGTCAATGGTTATCTCACGTACCGTGGAATACGAGGCGTGACATGAATTTTCAATACTTTTATTTTATTTCCTACATGAGTTAATACCATCCAAAACTAAATTATAGTTGTTACTTATTAATAATTTTATTCTAAATGTTACCGTTTTTCTTAAGGACACCAAAAGGACAAAAACGCTTGCCAAAGTTTCAAATCTGATTGTTTTATTATAAGGCGGGATATGCCTTATGTGACATGAAGTTCCCGCAGAACACGGTATGTTTTTCATTTCTTGTACTCACACCAGACTTCATGGAGATGGAGGCCAAGTGTTCCTCATCGACCACGCCTAGGCTTTTCGCCTCTCCGATGCCCCCAAACAGGTTGTTTTGTTAACATTTTGTTGGCTTTAATGTCTCAGAAAGTGTCTGAAAATAGTAATGTGACTTGAGAAAATTTTGGCTATACATTTCCTTGATATAAGGGTCTGGTTCATTTTTCTATTTCTCTCCTCTTAATGTCAAATTATAGTTTAGTTTCATACATATGCCATGTTAAAGAGAGGAGCTTTGTGTCTAATCAATCTTATTTCACTATTAGTGCCAATATAAGTTTTTTAAACATCCGTTGTTTGTATGTGTATTGACTTTTTATAATGAGATTTGGCGATTTTTTGAGTGGTTGACCAGTTGGAGGAAGTACCAGGGTTGGCCGATAGGATAGGTTCCATGATGTGTGTTGATATTGATTTAAATTCAGATATTGAAGAGGCGGACCATGAAGGTGGTGGTTCAGATGAGAAAAAAACCAAATTGAATGCCTTTGAGATGGTGGAGAGTGAAATTCACAGAGCAAAAGAGAGAGGTAACCACTATGAGATGGTTGGAGTTTGACATTGAGGATGCTATGTTGTTATCACTCAACTTGCCAAGTAAACTTCCAGTATATCAGTCTCACATATCCGTTTTGTGTTTCTTTTCTTTTATATATTGGACGCATGGTTCTGTTGTCTCCATTAATTTTAAAAAGGAGAACATTGCTTGGGAATTACTCTTTTTGCTCCCAATTGATTGGAATTTGATTTAGTAAGGGAAAGATTGATGTGTATATACTTGGGTGAATGGACTACTTAGGCATGCAACATGATTGAAACAAAACAGAATTCCCCTGGTTCATATTTTGCTGCATCAAATATTCGATTGCATTTCCCTTTATAGCTACTTCCTTTGAGTTGGGGAGAGGTGTTCATATCTGGTGACAACTCTCCTTAACTACACTATATAAGTGTGTCATTGTAGTCTTATCACATTAGCGATGTAGTGACCTTATTTATTTTGACTGGCAGGTGCATGCACGTCAATCGGATTTAAGAAAATTATTCTGCATATTGCCCTCTGTTTTTATTTCATATTGCTCTTATGTAATCTGGTTTAAAATCTTTCTTTTTTCTTTTATTATATATGGATTTTGTGTTCTTGAAATTTCAATCAACAATTTTGATTTACAAATTAAATTCTCTTAACTTTAAAATTTTTACTCTACTAATTCTGACTAACTAAACATTTTACAATTTATCAAAGATTTTTAACCACATGCTCTTTCCTAGTGTGTGTGTGTGTGTGTGTGTGTGTGTGTGTGTGTGTGTACATATTATATATAGAGAGAGAGAGACAGTACACCGACACATCAAGGGTACACCAACAAAATATATCAATATTCAATCGAGGGCTCCTTGTGGGTCGGTGAATCGTTCTCATATTATATATAACTAACATCACGTCATGATAACTCAATCTAATATTACAATGAAATTTATGACATACAAAATTGTATAATCAAGGTCACCTTTGTCATAGAGAAAGGCTAACAACAACAAGACATCTGCCTGTATAATAAATACTGAATATTTTACTAATAAGTGTGAGACCTGCCAAGTTCAAAATGGTCAACTCATACCCAACGGTCCCTACCCATTACGAATTTGTTGAAGTAGGCCAATCCTAACCAGTCTATTTAAAGAAATGTGTCACAATCAAACCTTTAAATGAACTAGCCAAATTCGTTAAATTGATGAGTTGAATCAGGAATCACCAAGTTCAAGCTGTTAGATAGACTAATAGTTTCACCGGAAAGGAATAAAGTGTGGCTGGTTGGGCAGGACTATGCCTTAAAAATTCACATGTGGCTGGGCCTGGGACAGCAAGAGCCAGTGTGTTCTGTGAAAACACTTCGCCTTAATCCTAGCCCGGCCTATACCCACCCAATGTCTGGCAACATTGAACTTCTACCAATACAACTAGTTAAGACATCGTGAAAGTACTGAGTATGAGAAGTTCTAGTCGAAGTTACAACAAACTGCAAAGTAAGCGCTCGTCTTATAGTAGGACATACCAGCCATATAATGCATCTGTATCCACCACAAGCTGGCCAGTGTATAATGAAAATGGGTGCCTCTCTTGCTGGGTAAGACCACGTAACGGTACCTGCAATTAAGTTGTTGTCTTAAGATGCAAAAGTCATAAAGCAAAAGTGAGCAAAACAGCCAGAGTTTGTCATATGATTCAAAGCAGCTCTTACATGTAACAGTATATCTTTTAACGTACATTGACAATCACCCAAAGTATTATATGCATTTACATATTTTTAGCCTTACTATCATTGTATAGACTATTACCTATTCATATCGAATATGAGATACAAAAGTCGCTGCTCCTGGTGGTTCTTGGACATGGAATGCACAGGTCTGGGGACAGGTATGCTCCCGCAAGACCAATCCATGGATTACAGCAAAATCCACCCCCTTTCAACAAACTGGTCTACTAGGTTTTAGAGGTAAATTAACCCGACTTTCCACAAATTGGAAATCCCAGATAAAACTTTCACAACTAACGCTGGTAGAAAAAATGCCAAAAGAGGACATAACCATTTCAATCTGCTGCTTTTTCATTCAAGAACTTTAACAACTAGTTACAATTCTCCTTTTCATCAAAATATATTTTGGGTTCATTGGTTGAAAACAAACATATGAACAATTCAAGGTGATGGGGCAAATAATTGAGGGAAACAAGAAAAGTGAAGCTCTTTTGTGGTAGCCACTTTATAAAGCAAAGAGAAACAAGAAGTCAAACTGTATTGCTGCCATTATATTGATACCAAGTACAACAGGAAGGACCACAAGATTACACAAGGAGACTGCTTACAAAGAACTGCAACACCGTGAACGTCTTTCCAATTTTAGATTCATAGCGCCAAAGAGAAACTCAAAACTTATATGTCAATGCAGTTTGTCCTCCTTGTCTGTGTTGCTTAGCACTAATCCAGTGGTATTTGTAGTTGCAGTGGCGGCACCCTGAAGATCAGACAGAGAGAGAGAACGCCACGGAGAGTATTTCCATCGAGGTGGCGATGATAGAACTTCATTGTTAGGTGATCTTCTACTGTGTGGGTACAGTGGAGGAAGAGAGAAAATAAGTGATGATGAGTTCGAGTCGGAGTTTTCACTGTTAGTATTGCTTTCAGAGCTGCTCATAGTTACTGCCAGAGCCAATGTACTTCTACTGGAGTTGGCAGGTCTCTTCGATATCCCACCACTATTACTTCTCATAGGATAATTGCGATTCTTGTCCCAGAAAATACTATGAGCAAGTAAGTTCTTGCGTCTCCTGGTATGAGCATTTTCCGGCTTTGCAATGTTTTTTACAGAAAGACAAGATGAAGCATCTGCTAGGCTAGTAAAAGACTTTGATTTGCCACAGTAGAACTTGGATATCCCTCTCCTGAAATGATACCAATCAGACACATTACAAGACACTTGTAGAAAATAAAACAAAAAATCGGTCCAAGAGATATAGAAAACATCACAAGATTCACATATAATCTAATTGAGCTTAAAAGAATATAATTCTACAGTCACTAATCAGTATCAATACCTATTGATTTATATTTGGAGAATGATATACTCAATCCTACGCTTTTGAGCAAAAGCGGGGAAAGCAAATTCCACCAGATGAAATTCTTCTTTAAAAAGGTTTAAAAAAAGAAAAGAAGAGAAAAGGACAACTTGTCCAACGTTCAACCCTTGGCATGATTAAAACTAATACCACCCATGTACATGAAATAAACCACAATTCTATACTATATAAAGAGGAGAACCCAATACCTAATAATAGGTCTATAACACAACATCATATGACTGTCTTTAACAACTAACACATAATATGAAATTGAATAACTTATTTACATTAGGGTAAAGTGCAAAAAAATACACCTCTCTATTTACAAAATATGCAATTACCCCCGTTGTTCATAAAACCCCCTACATTTTCCAATTTGTGCAAACAAGGACGAATCTTTTATTTTGGGCTAATTGAACAATGAAATGACTGAAGTACCCTCAAGGTATAATATATATTAAAAAAGATAATATATATATATATATATGTATGTATGTATGTATTTATAAAACAAAGCATTCTGACTAAAGTATTAACTGTGCAGATCCATAGCTGTTTCGCTAATCTGTCTAAGATAGCCATAGCAGCTCGAGATTCATCCCTTTTGCAATACTCATAAGCTACTGTCAGCCAAGTAACTTCATATGGGGAAAGTCGTCCGTGAATCATGGTATCATAGAGCCTATAAGCCCGTGATTGTTGGTTCTTGTTTTTGGGTTTGTTTGGGATTCATTGGGTCAAGCCACGGTCCACCAGAGGCTTCATTGAGGCATGGTATAGTGGAGGCCCAAGCTCATGACTCTTAGAGGGTTACTCCTTTGTGCGTTTGGTGGTGTCTATGGCTTGAAAGAAATAGGAGATCCTTTGAAGGAAAGGAAAATCATATTGGATCGTAGAAGTTCTCCAATCTTAGCACTCTAGTTTATTGGTCCTAGGAAGAAATTGTAAATCCTTGGATGAACTTGTACAGTTTTTGAATTTGTTGAGGGTTTAGAGGCCCTGTTTGGCTTTCTGTTATTTTTTAGGGATGTGTTCCCCTTTTGAACGCTTTTCATGAATTCTTACTTATCAAAAAAAATAAAAAAACCGACTAGGAAAAAAAAATCCTACCCTGTTTACCCCAAATCACTCCAGATTTCTGGGTCTATCAATTTTAGCTTATAAAATACACAATTAAAAATTTTTATCCCATTCATATCTATCTTTTATATCACCAACTTAGCTTTGCACACAATTTATACGGAATTGCATCTTCCTTCTCCACCAATGCACCGACCACAATCACATCATACCCACCACCACCTCCACTTGCAAGAAATCAGCAAAAGACGTCATATGTATATATATTTACCGTGTCTTTGCCTTGTATATGTGACTCTCCTCTGTTTTTTGACAAGAAAACTTCTGGAAAGCCATTAATGACGAGCTTGAAGGTATAGTCACGTGACGACGCTCTTCCATGATGTTAAGTGTGGGTTCAAGCTGGTTTTTGCATCCCACACCTGGCAACAATGGAGTTGGATGGCATCAATAAAGATGAGGAGAGGAAAATATGAGAGTTTTTTTTTTTAATTAAGGGTATATTGGGGGTTTTATAAAATTAAAAATTCAGTCAAATTGATCATTAGGGGGCAATTTGCTCCAAATGTTGATAATTCAGGGATTTATGTGCACAAAATAAAAAGTAGGGGTGGTAATAACACATTTTATATATAGCCGGAGTGTTTTTTGCACTTTACCCTTTCAATTACGACCTTACTACATACTCTCTCAATAGCACAATAAAAAGGTAGCTAACATAATATGAGGTAACACTAATCAGCAAGGATCATCAACCATGCACTAGTCTGTCCATCATCTGAAGTTGTAAATAAAGAGTGAGCTCATAGTTCAACAAGTTCATCACTCAAAAAGTTAAATTATACCTTCTCCTTACTAGTAGTGCATTTATAAATAACTTGTTATCATAATAACCGAAATATTCTCAACGTTATAATTGCAACTATATTTGAATTTCTTGTAGCTTTAGATCTTAAACTCATGAAGATTAATAAGAAATGTTGCTCTTTTCAAGAATTAGGTAGTTCACTCTCAATTAACAAGTAGGGGAACACATCCATTCTCTCAGTATATAAATAAGGAACGCATCCCATCTCTCAGTATAAACGTAGGGAACACATCCAACCTCTCACTATATAAGTAGGGAACACATACAATGTCTCACTATATAAGTAGGAAACACATCCAACATTGATCATCTCACTCAATTAATACAAAGGAACACGTCCATTTATAAATATATGGGAACACACCCCTTATTTCAAATTTGGAACTAATCCATAATTATGCAAGTTTATACTTTTTAGTACCAAGACTTTAAGCATTTTCTTATCTCAAGAACACTCAATTATTGCATCTTCACATAGAATTAATATTAAGTTGTATTGCGATTTTCTAATACTAGCCTTCATCAACATTCTTCTAAGTGTCATCTATAGGTATTAACCATATTATACATCATTCTTACTTAAAGATTCTTCAACAAATAGCATTGATCTTGGAGTGGACTGAGCTCTGTAGGAAGTTCTGGGCCTAGGGTTTCTGTGGCTGTCTCACTAATCCTTCAACATAGGAACCTGTCATTTGTACATTTTCAGAGAAGGGGAATAGTGTTGACTTCTATCTGCCATAACTGTTTTGTTGCAGTGGATGACAATAATCACCTCGTCTGTACCTGCCCTTTCGCTGTTGCTATTTGGAGAAGGTATTGGGTAGACTGGGTATTGTGGTTGGGGATTTTGAGTCCCTTAATGGCTTGATTTATTGGTTTCTGCAGCAGTCTGGTATTGCCTCTCGGAGGTCCAATGTTCTATGCTCTGTGTTTTCCAATACTATATGGATAATTTGGTCTCAGAGGAACTCTGTTCTCTATGGAGGTAGTAGAGATAGTCCTGAAGTTCGTACAGATTGCATTATCAACATTTCCAGACAGCAAAAGTGCTCCTAGAAAACATCCTAATGAGCTTATTAATACATACCAATTGCTTCCAGCCACCCATATTTCTCCTATTCTGGACACCCTTATCCTGCTCCCGATTTTCGACATATGATGCCGGTGAGAATAAGTCATCTATCCAAACAAATGAACTCAGCTCAGTCCTAGAAAATGGTTGTTTTAATCTGATTGTGTTAGACATTTGAAATTCTGGATTTCTTTTAATTAACATGGGACAAAGAAAACAATAAACTGGTGTAGTTTTCTTGTGTCACAAGTAGTGAGAACTAAAGATTCTCAAAAATATAAAGGGGATTTACAATGGCTGCATAAGGACCACGTACCCCATGGTTTTTTACTGTGGTTGAAGCTCTAGGCTAAAGATGACAAGAGAGTGTTGACTTTACAAGGAAAGGGTGCCTGGCATTAACCTTTTAGGTTCCGGAATGCATCTGATCCAGCAGAAAAAAAACTCAAGACTCAGATGTTAATTTATTTCCTTTCTGTATCCTTTCTCAGCAACCAAATGGAAACTTAAAATAATATACCTAACAATACAACAGAGTCTTTAGGCAGTAGAGAAAGATAACACAAAATCAGTGTTACTTTTGACACCTCTGTCAAGTGACCCCTTTGCCATTAACAGTTTTCTTCCCAAGACTTCAAAATAAACAAATCTCAATTCACTCTAACAAGATTATATATAGATCCTTAATTCTCGAAGTAGTTCTCTTCAATATCTGCAAGACCCCGAATTTAATAAATTTTTAATTTGCAAACCAAAAGATCATCAAAATAAAAATCCAAAGAATACCAAAATTTATTGATATACATAAAGAATTTTAAGACATAGAAATGTATCAAGAACTAAACAAACCCCAAAAAGGTAGAGAAGAGAATGACACATACTTGAGATGTAAAACTTCCTGCAAAGCATCCATGGCGTCCAAGGGTCCTTTATACGAGCTCTGAACCTCAGACTCGCCGGAATCACCGCCTCCGTCGGACGAGTCACTGTTCTTGCCAATCGACGACGTGCTACACGAATCCAACTCTTCCTCCCGCTCTTGTACTACGTTCTTAGTCGTCGCAACCATCGTAACCGTGCTGCCGGACTCCGGCGAGCCAGAGATCGATACACAGTTCACTTCTTGGACAAATCCCGACCGTTCGATCGAATTACCGGAATTGCTCTCCGCGATCGACATCGTCATGAATCAGTAGAACACATAAACAAACAACCAAGCAGAAATATAAAATCGTCAAAATGCATAAATATATAGATTAGATTATCTGTTTTATCGCGCCATAAATAAAGATAAAAAAAAAAGGCAAAATGAGAAGACAAAGTCTTATCCTAATCGTAAATTAATTCGAATTGAAAAAAACAAAAATAAAAAATTATCTATTGCAAGTAAAATTACAAACAGATAGTGGTGTGGATCACGTGATACTTTGGGATGTCAGTGTAATACTCTCAATTATCAACCGATTGATAAGATCCTGGTGCGATATGGTGACAAGGACAATAGGTTTTGGTGATGTGGTAAGGTGGGCTATGTTATGGAGTGACATGTGGCAGATGAGTTAGGTTAGATTTTGGGAGTGGTGGATTGACGACTGGTTTAGGTAGGCCCCACTCGTCCAATAGCTGGTTTGGTCATACATATATTATGGTGTCTGTTTAGCCTCTCGGCTAATCTGAGCTGTGTAGACCAAGCGTTTGAAAAGTCGCGTGGGACTCGTGGGGAAAAGTCGAAATGAGGACGACGTCGCTTTGTCAAACAGTAATGCCTTTGGCAAAGATCATACAATTTTTTGCATTTGAAGAATGGGGTGACAAAGTTTTACACGACTCGTTAACATGATACAAGTTAAATGAATTTAGATTATAAATGGTCGACATAGTTAACCTATTTAGTTAATCATGTTATGTTTGGATTGAAATAGTTCAACCCATGTAACCTATTTATATCCCGTTTAGACATACGGTGTCATAAATAAATATATATTTAAGTTTCAAAATTAGCATCTAAATTTGTGTCTTATAATTTACTCTTCTGTAGATTAGAGATTATTTAGTACTCCGTAACTTTGTTGGATTGAAACTTATATTTTATTGGTATTTATTGTTTGATTGAGTATTATTAACAATTTAAATAATATAATATTTTGTTTTAATAATTCGGTCATTAAATGGGTTACACATGTAACTCGTTTAATAAATATGTCGAATCAATGTTAAAGGTTACGAATATTAAACAGGTCATGTTCGAATTGAGCTACTTAGTAGAACACCCATAGGTTGACAGGACACGATTATAACCCGCAAACACGAATTGCCACCCCTAATTGGGGACATGAATGACATCATCTTCTATAAATAATGACATCACACTGTAGTGTTCATTTAAGGCCTAATGGGAATGAATTGGTAATTCAAATATGAATTCAGGGACGATCCATAAATTCGTGGGAGGGGGGGAATTGCCCATTGAGTACAACATGGGTTCTTCCATGTATGATATAATGTGGGAATGAAATGATAATCATCATTTTAAGTGGCGGTGGTGAAATACGACAGCGTGAAAGTGGTGGAAGGCGGCAATAGTGGAAGACAGTGGCGGTGGGGAGGCGATGACAAAAGGTGGTGGCGGTAATGATGGTAGTAGAGGCAGTGGCAAAAAATGTTGGGGGATGACGGAAGGCGATGACAACGACGATAACGGTAAAAGACAGGGGCGACGATGTAAGCTAGTGTGGTGACAAAAGGTGGCAATGGTAATAAAAGGCAACAGCAGTAAAGGGAGATAATGGTATTAAAAGGCGGTGGCCAAAACTTTCATTCGTTAGAATGATTTTTTTTGTTTAGATGTAGAATAAATTTTTATTTAAAAATAATAATTGAAATGAAAAGACTTCCTTCATTCCATTCTTACGAATCTATGAGGCGGGCCTCCCAAAAGGTAATGGAGGCGTGCAAATTGCTCTCAATTATTCGATTATTTGATAACTAGAGTTATTATTTAATATTGATAAATGATGTTACTTACATAAAAGCTTAGTTATATATGAGCTAAAAAGGTTTAAGAATTACACTTGCCATAATTTGTGAAGCTCTTTCATTTGGTGTGAATGTCTTTATTCTCTTGACTAACACGGAGAAAAATCGTCTCCATTCGCTTTTCACTGGAACCGGTCCAGTGTGGGCCCCCTCTGCTGAAGTGGCAAAGCAGGTAAAACACATAGTCACTGTAGTTTTGCTTATACCATTGCTCTACCTTTTATGTACGCCCTTTTTGTACGCCCTTCCTTCCCTGTATTTCATTTTCAACTTAAAATTCCCCCCAAAACCAAAATTAAGGTTGGAGCCAAAACTGATCTGATATATATATACAGATATATGCCTCTGCTCTGATTTATAAACCAAAAACACAGAATCACCATTGCCGCCTGTATATATATGTGTGTGTATGTATGTATCTGTATATGTGTATATATATATGTGTGTGTGTGTATATGTATATGTGTGTGTCTGTTGGTGTTGGGGCGGGGAAGAAAGAACAGAGAGGAGAAAATGTGAGAACAGTGACTCTGATTTGATAATGTTCCATGGCGGCATGCGTCGTCATCGCCACCACCATGACTATGGGTTCAAGCACCACCATGATGACAATGATGATGAGGCAGGGGCGGCGACGGCGGCTGAGGGGTTCTTTACACCGGGCGTCGGGTGGCGATTATGTAGACCAGTTTGAGAAGAGAATCCTCTGCTCTGTAAACCAACACACAAAACCCCGAAATTCAGCTTATTATGATGCGGTTTCCATGTGTAGTCACAGCACAACCTCTGTTTTGTCTTCTCTCTCTAGCTTGAGTTACTCGGCTTGTTATTTTAGAGAGAGAGAATAAGGGGTTCTGTATATGGATCCAATCACGACAGAGCTCGCTCGTGAAATAATATCCCTCTCTCATCACCATACATGAGATACAATTCAATACATAATATATATATATATATATATATATGGAAACTACATATTTTAAGTATGCATTAAACACTTGTGCTTATTAGGAAGGTCGATATGGATTCAAACTAGTATAATATTTAATTAATTTCTGTATAAAATAAGAACCCCAATTAACTATTCATTAAATTCACAGTCCTAGAGAGAGAAAGGAAAGCTCGAAGTTACTACGATAGAAACTCTTCCCAAACTCGACTTAATTCACAGCCATAAATCGTCGCTAAAATTTCAATACCATGTGTGAGTGTGACTTGGGGGATGAACTATCTCTCTCTTCTCAAAAAATAAAAAAAAAATAAAAAATAAAAAAAAAATAAAAAAAAAACTGTCACAACTCAATTTCACAATTCCTAAATTAATAATAAGAATCACAAATACTCTCAACATATATATATAGAGATTTGCATATTTCATCACCTACTTTTTGTAACAACATACAATACAAAAGTTGGAGAGATCAAATTATTATTATCACAGCTTTTTTAAACATGTATCATGTATGAAGTGCATATAACGTCAACGTATTTTCATAACACGTTAAAAAAAATAACTTCCACAACTCAATTCCATAATTCAAAACCTTAAAATCTATATAATCAGTCAATTATTTCAAAACCTTAAAATCTCAAATAAATTTATATTTGGATACTTAACTGTATCGATACATAATCAATGTTTACTATTTATAATTTTACTGAAAATGAATGGAATAAAATATCTTTGTATACAATATATTGTTATATGTATATTTGGTTATAATTTTACTGAAAATGAATGGAATAAAATATCTTTGTATATAATATATTTTTGTACATATATTTGGACACGGTACTGATATATTTTTGTATATAAGATGGTGATTTGTAATTTTTCTAAAATGGAAAGAAATAAAATTGATAAGTGCTTAAATGTTGCACATTTCAGCACATAAGTTAGGGTATTTCAGTCTTTGCATATATCTTAATTTCATGTTTTAGTCCTAATTTATGTTTATGTGTATTTCAGGGCAATAAAGTTGAAATGAGCTAAGAATGGTCCATTAAAGCCTCTTTGGAGTCAAGCAAATATATTCAGAAAAAGTTTTAAAAAAATGGCAAAAAGAGGTCGCAGCTCATTGCTCGTATAGTGTGTTTATTATTCAAAAACGGTCAATCTCGGGCTTTTAATGATGTTCTCAAAGATGAAGAAGCAAACCAACGAGGCTAGGGCCAAAATGGAGCTAAATAAGGCTTAAAGAAAATTTCCAACTCTTGGGGGATCGATCCCCAGGATGGGGGATTTATCCCCCAAGACTTGGCAACAGTACAAGATTTTCTTATTTTGAGCTTATTTTTGTAATATATAGGCTTTAATAGGGTTTGTTACTTAAGGCCCAGTGAGCCATTAGTTTAGGGTTTGTATTATTTTATTTAAGGGAGTTTTTAATTTATTAAAATTTTAAGTTTTATTTTTTTTTCTGTACCGAGATATCACGTTCTCTCAAGAGAAAAGCGAGGGTGAGAAGAAAGAGAAGAGGGGAGACACAAGGGTTTCAAGAACATCTACACACTCATCTTTTTTTAGCATAAAATAAGAGGAAGAATGAGCAAGACATGGAGGAGGATCCTGTTGACACCTTGATCACTACAACCATGATGGGCTAGATCTCCACTTAGGGCTTGGTTGAGCCATAAGTTTATGTATTTCTAAACCCTTGTATTTTTATTTTTTGGGAGATTAATATATTGTTGTAGTTGATGTTATGGTCTTGTGATTATATACTTGGATGTTCCAAGATTTTTGTTGATTAATCATTCCATTATTTCTCTATTTTGGTTGCATGTCTATGTGTGATTAATTTAGGGTTATATACTCTTTAATAAATGTTAAAGATTAATAATTTCATTAGTTCTTTATGTTAATTGCATGTCTATGAGTGATTATTTGAGAATTATACTTGAACGCCATGACATGGTAATTAATGGATGCAATTGTTAACTAATTTGATGGTCTATGCTTTATTCTTGATGAGTTGTACTATGATTAAACAATTCACACTTGAAATTGATAGTCCACACTTATTATATGCAATTTGTATCATCTTCTTGATTATGGATTAAATGCAAATGGTCAATGAATTTGATGAATTAGGTTTTGTCTTGATAGGTTGTACTACACCCCAGTTTACCTGTCATTAGGTAGACAATCTACACTTGATTAATCAATCCATCATCATGATTGAAATTGGTATTATCTACTTGATGTGTGCTCTCATTGGATGCATTTGTTGATTGGTAAGATAGGTTAAGCCTCAAGATTGGTGTGTTGTTCTACACTTAGTTTACTTGTCGGTTAGGTAGGCAATGCATTACAAATGAATTGGACGATCATGCTTACATATGCAAATTGTGCCATTGATTGTAGCATATCTCTAACATAGTTTATTTTCATTACATTTTAATTTAATTGTTCACTAGCTTAATCAACCAACCATCTCTTTTATTCT